ATGCCATGTATAAATATTTGCCATGTTGAATCTCTCTTATATCTGAGGAAGTGGACTTGTCCATGAAAGCTAACATTAAAAAAGATAAAAACTTAGTCTTTAAGGTGCCACCATGGTTTTGTCTTTTTAAAAAAACTTGTATTTCTATTTTGCTTTTACTTATAATTTCTGCTGTATATGTACCAGAATCAACTAAATAGAATCTGGCTCAACATGCATTTTGACATTCTAAGTGCAGCTAAAAGGTTGTGGGTCTAACAACTGCAGTGTCTGTGCTTAATCAAGAGGAAGCCTCAACTGAAATCACAGGAATTTATTTCCCAAAGTGTGCACGCACAAAATTGAGCTAATGAAAAGAAAAACAGCATGCATATTTCACTAAAAGGAAATACCATTGACATAAATGAGACACATCCCTCTAACTAGATTTAGAGCAGACCCACTGAACTGAATGGGTAGTTAGGGTAGTCATGTAGCACTACAGTTTTTGCTAGAAAGTCAAACACATATCCTACACCAGTCAGACTCTCCACTGGCCAGCTGAGGCTATTAGTTATGGGCATCCAACAAAAGGACCATCAATTGAGTAGATTACAAGTTTTATGTACTTTTTAAAAATTCAGTCATTCACCTCCTATTTCTATACTAAGCTAGTCATCCCTTTTCCCCTTCTGGAAAGATGCCAGAACCCTTAAGAAGTAGCTGGCAAGAGAAATTCCAGATTTAAGTATTTTTTTGGTAAGGTAAAGGTTCCCTTTGACATTTAGTCCAGCCGTGCTCAACTCTAGGGTGCGATGCTCATCCCCATTTTCAAGCTGTAGAGCCAGCGTTTGTCCATAGAGTTTCCATGGTCACGTGGCCAGCGCGACTAGACACGGAATGCCATTACCTTCCCACCGTGGTGGTACCTATTTATCTACTCACATTTTGCATGCTTTTGAACTGCTAGGTTGGCAGGAGCTGGAACAAGCGACGAGAGCTCACTCCGTCACATGGATTCAATCCTACAACTGCTGGTCTTCTGACCTTGCAGCGCAGAGGCTTCTGCGGTTTAACTGGCAGCGCCACCACGTCCCTTATTTCTTGGTATGAACATATGAGAATGAAAGAATTGTTGCTATGTTTCTGTCCACCACAAACCTATTAAAAGTACATGAGGGCTGAACCTGCATCTACACAGGCAGATTATCATATTAGGTAAACATTTAAAACAAGTTGAAATATGATTCTTTACCTGGGTACATGCCATGCCTATTTGCCAAGTGGTTGCTCACTACAGCCATGTAAAGCAGTTCCTCTGTGTTATTACTACATCTATGCCGTGCCAATTCTGCAAAAGTGGCATCTAAATAATCATGCTTACTCATTAGTAATCGTGCCCCATACAGCCCTCAGAATTGTATTGAAAATGACAAGATTATATAGCTTTGGGGAGAGTATGAAGAAAGGTGGTCAATTTAATCTATGCTTGTTTTTTAAAAAAAATAATAATATGCTACCATGTTGACATACCGCCTCAAATGAAAGCAGCTTTTTTTACACTACGGATGTAAATGTTGGGCCACTCCTAGGTGTTAAATAGGAAAACAAGTGAATTATTTTCTCCTTGCTGCAAGGTGGTGACTCCCTGCTTCCTCTTCTGTCTAAAGAAATTCAATGCACTTTCAAAACTGGTCTTCTTTTTTTGCACATTTCTTTAAATACATAGAATTTGAAATGGTAACAGCTGTTTCCTTGCTGCATGGTTTATTTTAAAAAGTAGTCACACTGGATGGTCAATTTGCAATCTGTGGATCAATCAACCTGTCCTTTTATGCTTGCTATGTGTGTGCACTTAACTATAGAAAGAGAAAAGATGCTAATTCCACCCAGATATTTTGTGCCAGTTGTAAGAAGAGCACAGCTGGAAAAGTACTTGGAGTCTTACTCTCACACTGGAGGCTTGGAGAATCCTCAAGAAATTGCCCTGCTACAAGCCTGGTGAAGTTTGCCCGTTTCAGTCTCTTACACTGCTGTAGGAAAGAGGCAGCATTGTGCAGTTTTTGTGCTATGTAAGAGTAACAAGAAGTACACATGGCACCAGGGCAGGAAGATTTGCTTTGGCTGGAGAAACAGAACTAGAATACCATCAATAATGTCACCGAGTGCTTCCCCAGCCCAGAGAAGATGAGTGTGCTACAGTCCACTCATGCCTGAAAGGATTATACTGACTCTGCAGGAAAAGTTTTTTAAAACTTCAAGAAATCTGTAAGAAATGGGCCATAGGGGAAACAAGGGATCAATACCATGGCTAAAAATCAGCATATTAAGTCACAACAAAGTAGGCCCACTGAGTCAATGAGGATTTAGTGAGTCAACTCTTCTGTAAGATGCATTAATCCAAATGGATCTATTCTAACTGCAACTTGCTTTAGCGTAGTAAGTCACAACTAGAGCAGGCCCATTTGGATTAACAGAATTTAAGGAGGAGTTGACTCACTAAATCTCTATTGATTCAATGGACCTACTCTATTGGAATTTACTGTACTAAGCCACAGGATTTTGGCCAATGTGTTGAACACAATACAGTTTAAACTACAGTGGGCCCTCGACTTACGAACTTAATCCGTTCCAGAAGTCCGTTTGTAACCCGAAAAGTTCGTAACTCAAATCAGCATTTCCCATAGGAATGCACTGAAAACCATTTAATCCGTTCTGGCTGTTTTTGGTTCTTAAGTCGAGGGGCAGTTTGCTAGTCGATTCATTAGTTCCCATAGGAACTAATGCAAAGCTGCTTAATCCGTTCCTACCACTAGGGGCAGTTTTTTCCTTTTTTCTCCAACTGTCAGGCAGTGCACTCTGCAGTCCTATGATGTTTACACAAGTGCAACTCCTGCCTCTAGTACACTTTGCTCACCACTGAAATTAAACTTTTTAAAAAAAATGTTAAGAGAGTTTGTAAAGCCTGTTTGGAAAATACATTATTCACTATAACTTTCGGGGAAATCCCCTTGATCACTTTGTCATCCCCCCCCCCCC